CCATAAGTCGTACTTTGGAAATTTATATGCATTAAATAAAAGTTTAAAAAAAAAAAAAAAGAAAATGAATCTTGATGAAGAATGAGATCAGAGAGAGAGTGGGAGATGGGATGGTTTCGAGTCAGAGGGATGTTATGGGGGAAAAAGCCACTATAATCCAAAAGTTGTACTTTGGAAATTAATATTTATTAAATAAAAGTTAAAAAAAGAAATAATGAAGACAAAACATCAAGGTGGTCAAACCAGGAACTGAAGCTTTAATTTCATATACAATAAATATTGTTATGTCCTGAACATTTGATGATTATAGAAGTATTCTAGAGTTGACAGGATAAAATACCACAGGCTGGATGACCTTTACAACAGAACTTTATTTCTTAGAGTCCAGAGGCTAGAAATCCCAGATCAAGGTCCTGCAGCATTGATTTTTTTCCCATGTAAGCTCTTTCTGGCTTGGAAATGCCCACCTTGTCCTCATTTGGTCTTTCCTCTGAACATGTGACATGAAGGGCAAGAGCAAATGAAATGAGCTTTCCGTAGTCTTTCCTGAAATGGATACTAACATGATCAGGTCCAGGATCATTCATTGTGAAGTCATTTAATCATAATTCCTTCCTTAGAACCCCCATTAGTAAACACAGTAATAATGGCAGTTAGGACTTCAGTGTACAGTTTGCAATAACACCAACATTTTGCCCATAAAAATGGTATAGCAGAACCTAACTTCAGAGGAAATTTTTGTGATAGCCAAGGCAGAAAATAAATATTATTTGAAAAATTCACAGTAATCCTTAAAGTATAATTATTCTATATACTCTGCACAGTGAACTGTCATTTGATGAAGTAATGCTGAACTTATGGTAAACCTTAAAACCCTTTAAAATACATGTGCCAAAGTGTTGCTTTGGTCTCCACGGTAATCTCATTAAAAGTATATGTACAGTGATTGAAGGAATCAAATGTGTGTGTAGGAGTAATATTTAGTCCATACAAATAAAGAGAAAGTCTACCATGAATTGTCTTTTAAAAATAGTTATCAATTGTCCTCATGTATGTTAGGACTTATCTATCAATAACTACTTCACGATAATGAAATTATATTTTCTGCATCAAAAAACAGTTCTGCATTCTTTGATCTCTAGAAGGTAAGTAGAGAGAAGAAGCATAACTTCTCTTAAGTGGGCAAATATGGAGCGTTCATTTTAGAATATTTTTCTTACATGTATGAATAAAATAAGACCTTTTTGTTTAGAATAGAATCATCAGAATAGTTAAGAAGCTAGATATTTTTTCTGCATCTATTTTTACAAATAACACAGGTGCATGCAGAAGAATCAGAAATTTACTAAGGGAGGAAGCATGTTCATACATATAACTCTTACTCCATATTCTAAGGTTAACACAGAATAGCTTTCCCATTCTATATTTATAATGCTGTATAATAGAAATTGATGTTATCCTCATGAAACATTGGAAAACTGCTCAAACTGTCCACAAGGCATTGTATATATTAGCATTTTGAACAATCAGGAATGGGGAAAGCATTTTTCATGTGCATTGATATTAAAAAAATATTTTGTTTTGCCCCATTCTTTTACAAAATGTTAATGTAGTTTGGCACATGCAGTAACTCTCAGTAATCTAGGATCTGATTTCAAAGGATATACATTCTTCATTTGAATATGGGTCAAACAATGCCTGAGAGTCAGAGAAAGGAGTGAAAAAACAGTGTCATATTAATTCTCATTATAGATAAGACACATTCCTGAATTTAAAACTGAGATAATTCATGAAAGACAGACAGGAGTCAGAAAAATGTCATTATTACTGTATCAGTATCATAACTTAGTTGTAATTCCTCTATATATACCATGAAAAAAATTCTGACAATGATACATCTTACTAGTTTAAAAATTGTTATTTTATGGAAGAAGTTGATAGTTAATAGTTAAAATTTGATTTAGTTTATTGTCTTAGAAAAATACTTGGTATAGTCTCTGAGCTCATTCTCCAAACTGCTCTTTATTGTCTCTGTCTGATAAATTGGGTATAACTTCCTTTATGCTATATAAGCAGTAGTGGGTTAATATCATTTGTACAGAGGCCAGCACTGTGGTGCAGCTGGTTAACGCTCTGGCCTGAAGTGCCGGTATCCCATATGGTGCCAGTTTGAGACCTGGCTGCTCTGCTTCCAATACAGCTCTGCTAGGGCCTGGGAAAGCAGTAGAAGATAGCCCAAGGCCTTAGGCTCATACCCCCGTGTGGGAGACCTGGAAGAAGCTCCTGGCTCCTGGCTTCAGATGGATGCAGCTCGGGCCGTTGTGGCCAATTGAGGAGTGAACCATTGGATGGAAGACCTCTCTCTCTCTCTCTCTCTCTCTCTCTCTGCCTTTCCTCTGTGTAACTCTGACTTTCAAATAAATAAATAAATCTTTTAAAAAATCATCTGTATATAGAATCCATTGAATACAGAAAATTTATGGATAATTCCTTCTCAGAAAAAATATTTATTAAAATTATGATTTATTTATGAATCAACTTTTGAATACGGCTACTACAAAACTTTATCCAACTTTGCTGGATTATAGAAAAGGACCATTTTGCCTCCTCCATTATTTAATGTTTCAAAATTCAGCTTTCCATTCCAGTTTGCTAATATTATCTGTGTGTTCTGAGTGTTGAAGAAACCATGTGGTCAGGAAAAATTACCCATTATGAAGGGAGTGCACAAGAGTGTAAGCAAAGGATATCAGAAGTAACTAGAAGAAGTCAACATCTTCTAAATTATAATTAATGGACTAAAAGTAAAGTGAGCTTAATCATGGCTACTTGCTGGGATTAAACATGACAATAGGTCTGATCTGATTTCATCATCATTTAAAAAAATCATCTATTATTTTTCACTTTATGTTTCTGTGTGGGAGCAAACTGTTGAAATCTTTACTTAATGTATACTAAACTGATCTTCTGTATATTAAGAGAATCAAAAATGAATCTTGATGTGAATGGAAGGGGAGAGGGAGTGGGAAAGGGGAGGGTTGCGGGTGGGAGGGACGGTATGGGGGGGAAGCCATTTAATCCATAAGCTGTACTTTGGAAATTTATATTCATTAAATAAAAGTTTTAAAAAAAATCATGGCTACTTGGTAGCATTTGATGTGTTGAACTCTCCTAATCAAGAATATAAATATTTTAGTTTGAATACATACTTTGTATGGTATGAAATAAATTTGTTATCTGTTTATGAAAAATTATAATTAACCTAAAATCTAAAAATCTAAACTCACTGTTTCATCTGGATTTTTAAATAAATGTGACTAATTTAATTTCACTAAAGAGAATTTTTATTTTGTCCTGGTTTCTCTCTGTCTCTCTCTCTCTCTTTTTTTTAAGTGAAAAACAAAAAGAGGTCTTCTGTCTACTCGTTCACTCTCCAAATGGCAGCAACCAGGACTGGGGCCAGGCTGAAGTCAGGAGCCAGGAACTTGAACCAGGTCTCCCATGTGGGTAGCAGGGACCCAGCAACTTGAAACATCACCTGCTTCATGATTTGGGAAATTGCTACAATCAAGAGCAAAGCTAGGAGGCAAATTCAGGCGCAATGAAATGGGATGAGGGTGTCTTAATCAGTAATTAAATGCCTGGCCACCCACCTTTTTAATTAAGATTTATTTATTTGAAAGTCAGAGTTACAGAGACAAGAGGAGAGAGATCTTCCATCTGCTGGTTCACTCCCCAGATGGCCACAACAGCCAAAGTTGGGCCAGCCAAAGAAGTCAGGAGCCAAAGCTTCATCTGTGTCTCCTGTGTCAGTTGCAGGGACTCAAGCACTCAAGCCATCTTCTTCTGCTTTTCCCAAGCCATTAGCAAGGAGATGGATTGGAAGTGGAGCAGTAAAGACATTAACCATCACCCAAATGGAATGCTAGCATCATGGGCTGTGACTTCATCCACTATGCCACAAGGGCCTGCCTTCTTTTTTTCTTTTTTAAAGGGGTAATAGTTTGTACTGTTAACAGTTAACTAGATCAAATGTCTTTTTATTAGCCAATTATAAAACAATACTTAAGTATAGGTTAAAAATCACAGAGTAAAATTTCTTTAAAAAGTTGTTAAAAAAGGGCAATTTTTTTCATAGTAACACTGAAGCTAGGAAAAGCTTTTTCTCATTAACACAGGCTTTGAAATATGTAAATTCTAAACTACACTTGTATTAATAATGAGTATGTGGTGATAACACAATTTTCATTTTTAAAACTCTAATTAATATTAATATCCCCAATAAAATACTCCAACAGTTCCTTTAAAAAGAAATTCAAATTGTAGGACCTAAAAGTTTTAACAGTTTTATGTTTTGTTTTAAAATATATTCATCATATTTAGCATTTTAATACATTTTAATAAGCCAGTTCTGATGACCAATTTTTATTTTCAGAATATAAAATATAAAACAATCAGATTAATTAGGTTTTTCATTACCAAAATTTTGTTTGTGAAATAAAAACTTAAATGTATGGGGCTGGCACTATGGTGTAGTAGGTAAAGCTACCACCTACAGTACCAGCATCCTGTATGGGCTGGAGTCCCAGCCACTCCACTTCTGATCCAGCTCTCTGCTGTGGCCTGGGAAAGCAGTAGAAGATGGCCCAGGTCCTTGGCCCCTGCACCCTCATAGAAGACCTGGAAGAAGCTCTTCGCTCCTGACTTCAGATCGGCTCAGATCAGGCCATTGCAGCCATCTGGGGAATAACCAGTGGATAGAAGACCTCTCTCTCTTTCACTCTCTCTCTGCCTCTGCCTCTCTGTAACTCTGCCTTTGAAATAAAAATAAATCTTTAAAAATAAATAATAAATAAAAGTATTTATTGAAAATTAAGCAAATTATATTACTTTGTTGATCATTGGTAAGTAATTGCTCATTTAAATGGTCAAATGTTTTCCAATAGAATGAACAGGTAACCTACAGAGCAAGAGAAAATATGAGTGTGAATCATATATAAAAATAATTTTTACAATTTAGCAGCAAAACTCAATAAACCAGTTTAAAAATGTACAAAATACTTGCATAAATGTTTCTCCAAAGATGATATAGAAATGGCCAGAAAGTATATGAAAATATGTTCAAAATTACTAATAAAAAGGGAAATGCAAATCAAAGTCACAAATAACTACTACTTAGACCTATCCGATGGCCACTATCTAAAACACCAGCAAACATAAAAAAGCTGAAAATAAGTGTTTGTGAGACTGTAGAGTAATAGGAATCCAGTTGGTGGTAATGTAAAATGGTGCAGGAACTATGCAAAACATTAATGAAGATTTCTCAAAAAATAATCCTAGGTGGGGAGGAACTATTTTGTCTAATGGTGAAGACATGGGTTAGGAAGCCTGCATCAACTGTTAGGGTGTCTGGGTTTGAGTTTAGGCTCTGCCTTCTGACTCCAGCTTCCTGATAATGCATATCCTGGAATACAGCAGTAATGGTTCAAATAGTTGGTTCCCCATCACGCAAACGGGAGACCTGAATTGAGTTTCCAACCCTGAGACTGAGCCAGGCCCAATCCCTGCCTTTGTGAGTATATTGAGAGTGAACCAGTGGATGGCAGTTCTCTTTCTCTTTCTCTTTGTCTTTCTCTCTCTCTCTTTCTCCCCCCCCCTCCCATTTGTGAGTGTGTGTGTATGTGTCTTTCTGTCTCCTCATATAAAGAAATATAAATTTTTAAAAGTTGTTATATGATTTAGCAATTCCACTTCTGAACATAACCCAAAAGAACTGAAAGTAGGTTCTTGCAGCGATATTTGTATTCATTATTCAGAACAGCATTATTCACAAAAGTTAAGATGTACAAGCAATTCATTGCCCATGGACAGAGGAGTAGATAAACAAAATGTAGTATAAATATTCAATTCCTTTTAAAAGGAAGGATATTATGTCACATGCTACAACACAGATAATCCTTGAAATATTAATAATGATCGATCACAAAAAGACAAATACTATGGTATTCCAGTTACATGAGGTGTCTAGAGTAGTCAAATTCACAGAAACAGGACAACATTGTTGGTTGCCAGGGCTGGTGGGAGAAGAAGATGAGGAGTTATAATAGGTACAGAGTCAGGGTTTTTTAAAATTAAAGCATCCTGGAGAGTGGTTACATAACAACATGTAAACACTTAACACAATTGAACTGTACAATTAGAAATAGTTGATTGTTGACTGAGTATTATACAATGTTTAATCACAACTTCAAAGTAATCTGTGACACTTCCTTAACATCTGACTACAATGACATTTTTTTAAGAAATTGTATCTAATAAATATGACCACAAAGGACATTTTAGGGAACTTTAGATTTCCTAACATTTCCTTGAGGAAAAAATACTTTTTAATATTTCCACACCTGTTAAGTTTCCAACATTTTTTTGCCATTCAACAAAAAACTTACTTTCATGGTTTACATTGATTCAACTCCAAAAGAGGAGTGTACTTGCCTTTCCTAGCCCTTGCACAATTCCTAGGAATCTCTTGTGATGTGTTTTGTAGGGACTAATTCTGTCTCAACCGAACAACTATAGAGAAAAATTGCAAATTGCATTTTGTTTTGACATGGCATTGTGCTTAGGATAAAACACACTTATGTTCTGATGGGAACATATGTTTCTTTATTTTGGAAAAGCAAGGGCAGAGAAATTGCCTGTCTCTTCAATACTCTTGTGCATTTTTGACTTGGATATAGATTAAAGTTTATTGAAGAAAAATACGCTGATAAAATCAAATGTTCTAACATTTATTAACTATTTTCAAAATTTACAAAGATCTATTATTTACTAAGAATATTATGTAATGTTTCCACTTTATGCTTTAAACAATTACAAACATTTAGCTTAAACTAATATACATATCAACGTAACAACTTAAAACGTGGGTAATGAGAAACTGAATTCTGTTTTCCCTCTAGCAATAATCCTAAGCACTCCAATTTAATGGAGCATATATTTCTCCCTCGAAATTCTAAGTCTGTTTAATAACAAAAATTTAAAGAACTTCAACATGCAATGAATATTTATTAACATTCAGAATAGCTAGCTTCCATGCTTACACTGAACTCAACATAAGGCAAATGCCCATAATAGTTCTGATTCTTTGGCTCAGTGTGTTCAAACACAAAGCAATGTGGCAAGCCTAACAAAAATAGTCCTTTTTGTCTGCCAGTTTCAGATGTTAATATGGGTACAATAAAATTCAACCATCATCTCTGATGAAATATACAGCTTTGATTAGCAGGACAGCTTGTTTTCTGAATGCAAGAGAAAAGCGTGAATCCGTTTCTCTAATTGTTCTCAAAGCTTAGGAAAATAAAGAGGAAGCAGGTTTGTTTTAATAAAATCAGTGAGCTTCCTCCTGTGACCATATCTGATTAGGAAAATAGTAAGCTAATCAGATTCTGTCAGATGAAATATCATGTTTTCTACTCTTGGCAACCTGTTGTATATTGCCATAGATTACAGAACATTTGAATGAGTTGGAGTCATGAAATTACTGATGTCACAAATAATGTTTTTCCCTTTCAACTGCTAAAAAAAAAGGAAGCCTTTGGTACCTCTAGTTATTGTATGCTACAATATAAAGCAAATTATCAACAACCATTCTTGAACTAACTCACGTGTGGCCACACATTACTCTTGTATTTGCTTCATGTTTTCTTTTTTCCAATAATTCTGTGATTCTCTACCTCTTTAGATGTCAGTAGGTAAATCTACATAAATCCTTGTTCCTGAAGAGTCTTCATCTCATGAAGTCCTCATTCTTACCATGTGATATAAAAATAACCACTCCAGCAAATGAAATACATCCAAATAAAATCAAAATAAGTCACGGCTGCTTGATGACCACCACACAGGCACCTGCTCTCCCAATATTCAAGGAAGCCATCTGTTAAAAAAAAAGACACAAAATTTAGGAAAAATTTTTACTGTCACACAAAAATATGCTAATTATAATGTTTAAAAGGTTCATATACATGAAAATCTTGAAAAAAATGTGCTGATATTTTCTCATTTTAGCCAGAACGAGTACAATAAAATGGAAATTTTGATAATGACATTAAAAAAGCAATGGTTTATATATTGAAATTTAAACTCTGCAATCACTATTGAATTCTTAAAACAGTAATAAAATATTTAGTTATTTTCAGTAAAATGAATTTGCTATACAAAATTTTGTAAGAAAGATTCATTCTGGGGGCTAACGTTGTGGTGTAGTGGGTAAAGCCGTCTCTTGCAATGCCTGCAATCCATGTGATCATCAGCTTCTCCACTTCTGATTCAGCTCCCTGCTAATGTACCTGGGAAAGCAGCAGATGGTGGCCCAAGTGCTTGGGCCCTCACACTTATGTGGGAGATGTGGAAGAAGCTCCTAGCTCCTGGTTTTGCACTGGTTCAGCCCTGGCCATTTGCGGCTGTCTTACTCTCTCTGTGTCTCTCCCTCCCTATGACTCTGCTTTTGAGATAAATAAATAAATAAATCTTTAAATAATTATAATAATTATTTTTGATATCAATTCTCATTAGGGCTTTATAAAGATATCAAGGTAGTTTAGAAATTATGAGAGTATTTTTTTTTACTAAAAAGAAAGAAAAATATAAGAAATAAAATAGTTAAGAACAAAATACCCTCAGATCACATATTATCTTATTGATTGAGAAAGAACATTCTCCAAATAGGAAAGTTACTTCCATTATCTACTAGTTCTTTTTTTTCTTTTAATATATATATAAAATTATATGTGTATATATATATATTTATATCCATTTTCATCTTAAAATGCAGAATGACACCCAGGGAGGGGAGGAGTTTTGTCTCTTGGTTCACTCCCCAAATGCCTGGACCAGATCAAAGTACTCCATGTGCATCTCTAATGTGGTGGCAGGGGCTCAAGTCCTTGATCCATTACCTGTGGACTTCCAAATGTATCAGAAAGAAGCTGTATGGGAAATGGAAGTGTTGGTACTCCACTGAACTCCTATATGGGATGTGGGCATTGTAAAAGGCAACTTAACCCACTACCCTTCAATGCCACTCCATACCAGTTCCCTTAAAATGTATTTATGGTTACCAATTATCCTGCTGCAGGAAAAAATAAATCTGATATAATATTTATTTTATTCCTTTCATTTAATAGATTATGTATAAAAGTTAATTTAATATATCTTGCACTCCTCATTAAATAATTGCATGAAGTGAAAGATAAAATGTTACCTGTAAATATACTGTTATATTGGTAGTTTAATTTCTGGTAAGAATATTGTCAAGTTGCCACAGTTATCTTCATAACTGCATCATGTATAGTTATCTTCATTTGATAGATGAATGAATGGAATATCCAAATAAAATATGGAAATCTCACAAAATCAAAGTATTACAAACTGTGTGTATCTGACTCCAAAACACATGTTCTTTCCATTGTATTTCTTTTATTGTTTAGTGATTTTCAAGTATCATTTCACAGCTGATTCATCTGAGAAGCTTTTACAAAATATATGAGTATAATTCTTATCATTTAATAGGAATAGGATGAGTACAGTATCATCATATTTTTGAGAAGTTTTCTAAAGGCCCTTAGATGTGCAATCAACACTGAGAAGTACTATGAATTGCACACATACAGTGAGTAGATCCACTTTATATCTATCTCACATCTGCATCCGTATCTCATCCATGTAGATGAGCATCAGTTTGTGTGAAAATAAATCCCTTCTATTTTTTTCTTCAAAAGAATATGGTATTTCCTAAGTCTGTGAATGATATCATTCTTCCCCTTTGCTGAAGACAGGGCACTATAGCCCATCCATGGTGCTTCATTTTCTTCACTAAAACCTACATCTGAAACATCATGAAGTCCTCCAAGGAGCTCTCCAACCAGTCTAATGCTGTCCATTCCTTAGTTCAAGGTGCAACTTTATTTTGAGAGAATTAAAATACCCTCCTTACAGATTCTCTCACTCCAATATTGCTTTCCCCTAATTGTTTTTCACATTCTAACAGGTGCAATCATTTTATGACATGTGTATTTACTTGTTTTTACTTATATTAAATGCAAAGTGTGAGAGCAAAAGTGAGAGCATGAGAGAGAGAGAGAGATCTTCCACCTACATGTTCACTCGCCAAATGCCTGCAACAGCTAGAGCTGGATTGGGCAGAAATCAGGAGCCAAGAGCTGCATCTGAGTCTCCAACATGAGAGGCAGGGGCTAGGCACCTGAGTCAACACTTTCTGCCTCTTAGATGCATTAGCAAGAAGCTGGATCAGGAGCAGAATGGTCACGACTTCAACCCAAACTGGAGATGCTGCTCACTGTGCTATACCACCACCACTAGTGCAATCTTAGAATATAATTCTGATTGTTCACTTTGCCTGCTGAAAAAATTCTTCATTACCTTCCCTTCTTTCTCAAAGTCAAGACTCTTTGACATAGTTCCTGCTCCTATATCATAAAGATCATCTTGTGATTTGATTGTTGTTTTTAGCCCTTGTCTATACCCCTGTGGAACAGTGTCTTTCTAATTTTTGCTTGTTCAACATTATGGCTAGTGGTACATTAAGCCTCTGATTATAAAGTAAAATGAAATTATGTTATTGCAAAAATTAAAGGGAGAGGCCAGTGCTGTGACATAGAAGGTACCTCTGCCTGTAGTGCCAGCATCCTATATGGGTACCGGTTAAAGTCCTGGCTGCTCTACTTCTGATCCAGCTCTCTGCTATGGCCTTGGAAAGCAGCGGAAGATGGCCCAAGTCCTTGGACTTCTGCATCCATGTCAGAGACCTGGAAGAAGCTCCAGGCTCCTGGCTTTAGATTGGTTCAGCTCCCGCTGTTTCGGCCATTTAAGGTAATTGAAAATAAAACTCGATGAAGGGCAGGATGGGAGAGGGAGTGGGGGAGGGGAGGGTCGCGGGAGGGAGGGAGGTGGGGGGGAGCCACAACAATACAAAAGTTGCACTTTGTAAATTCGCATTTATTAAATAATAAAAAAAAGAGTGAACCAGCAGATGGAAGACCTCTTTCTGTTTGTCTCTCTCTCTTTCCCCCACACCCCCCTCTCTTTCTCTCTTTCTCTCTCTCTGGCTTTGTAACTCTGCCTTTCAAATAAGTAAATGAATCTTTAAAAAAATTACAGGGAAAAAAGAGAAAGGAAGGAAGGAGGGAGGAATGAGGGAGGGAGTAAAAGATGAAGAAAAATATGGTTACCTTCTGAGAATTGTATCTATGAAATACATGAAATTTTCTCTCTTTATATTAATAAAATTCAAAAAATGGGCCGGCACCATGGCTCACTAGGCTAATCCTCTGCCTGTGATGCTGGTACTCCGGGTTCTAGTCCCTGTTGGGGCGCCGATTCTGTCCCGGTTGCTCCTCCTTCAGTCCAGCTCTCTGCTGTGGCCCGGGAAGGCAGTGGAGGATGACCCAAGTACTCGGGCCCTGTACCCACATGGGAGACCAGGAGGAAGCACTGGCTCCTGGCTTAGGATTGGTGCAGTGTGCCGGCCATAGCAGTCATTTGGGGGGTGAACCAATGGAAGGAAGACCTTTCTTTCTGTCTTTCTCTCTCACTGTCTAACTCTGCCTGTTAAAAAAAAAAAAAAAGAATGTGATACTACTATAGTTTTAATGATCCGTGATCGCTTTGCAATTGACTCTGTATGGGTGAAATAGTCATTTTTTCCACTTGATTATTATCTATAGCCCTTGCCTATATTTCCACTCAACTAAGGTCTTTTTGCTTTTTCTTGTTGAACTCCTTATTTATTAAAGCATTAAACCCTCGACAACAATGTAAATTAAAGATATGTTATCTCAAAAGTGAAGGAGAGAAGGGGGAAAGGGAGAGGGAGGGAGAGAGAAAGGGAACATAATTTTAGTCTCAGAAGGATACCCATGAAATACATCAAACCTGTTAAAAACTAAAAGAAAAAAAAGCAAACAAAACCACCTGTGTATCTCCCTAAATACTCTTTGCTCATCTCTATTTCCTGCCTAATTAAATGTCACATGCTCTTCCTTCAACTCTTACAAATGCTCTTCTTCAATACAACATATTCCCTATGTTTTGATCTGGTTAATTATTACCCCTTTTTTAGGCCCTATTATGCACATCAATTCTTGAAGGAAGATTTCTCTACCCAATACACTTAAGCTCTATTTCCCTTACCAAAAATGTATCATGCCATTTTAAGTATTTGCTATTTCCTACATAAATGTCTATTAAACATTTAAGAGAGATTTGTCTTTTTTACCATAGTCCAATATAATTTAGTATATATGTGATATTTATAAATATTTATATTTATATAAATATATATTTTTATTTTTATATTTATTTTATATTTTTATTCTATATTTAAAGTTTATAACTTCAGCCTCACTAGTATGATAACCTAAAAGGACAGACTTCAAAACCAGTTAGAAGAAAGCAACTGAGAAAGTAAATATATTACCTGAATTCCATGCAACTCCCTATACATCCAAATAAACTAAACTAAGCCCAAGCCAACAGAGCCGACTTAGTTGCAACAACAGTTCTCAATTAATTTATGCAAAAACATTCACATATCTTCTATTGCATACTGGCAACAAGGCTAGTCTTAGGAGATATGATAGTAAATGGCATATTATCTGATTCTTTAAAGCCTAATGCATCATGACAGTATATGGAGAAAACAGATAAAACAGTAATTTTATTCATGATAGGGAAAATTAGATAAAATTCTCTTTATATCTTGAAGTACATATATATACTTGAAATCAATGCAAGAAAGAAGCTCAATGTTAAATGATAATATAAAATTTATTTAAAATACACATGCTCATACATGTGTGTGTGTGTGTGTGTTATGTAAAACACATTAAGACATAAATCTGTCATTACTATTTAATCTATTTCCATTATTTCCAATTAGTTAACTTGGGGAAGTTTCCCACAAACATATTCTTGGAGAGTTTAATTTACTTATGCTAATCATCAATAGTTGTGGGTGTCAATTGTATATAGGCTAGCCAATCTGTTTCATACACATAGTGGGCAAACTGAGTGAAAGTAATAGAATCTCTCTGATAAATATGGAAAACAGTTCTAGTAATCTATAATCTTTGGAAGTTTTAAAAGAGATTTTGTGTGGGTCTGCTATAGTCCCTTGAGAGTCTTAAAAATATAAATAATGAAAAGATATAAGCATAAAATCTCAAAGTAATTCAAGAGTTTTACAATTAATGCTTATTGTACTAAAATCAAGTGGTTATAAAACATTTTAAATACTCCTTTGTTGTTTGTAAGATATTATATGATCCAAACATACAATAAAACAGATGAGAGAAAATGGTCTTTAGGAGAGTTCTACCAATTATAACTACATATATAACTTTGATTTCAATTTTAGAGATGTGGTAAGCAAAGTGTTTTTTTACTATAAATATATAATGAAGATATTATACTACATCATTTATATACCCATAAAATTCCTTTATTTAATGTTCATTTGTATAATGGCACATTTAAAAACATACCAGCAAAATAGCACATTTCCTTAGCAAATCAACAATGATTATCCATGCAGTGGTCTCTGAAAACACTAGGGACCCATCAAGGTAAGAAGTAAAAATATATTCTTGAAAATTTAAGTAAAATAATGTTGAAGGCAATTATCACTAACTTATTTTATATTTGCTGTCCTTTGGATAAGGAATGCTCCTTTTCTCACAGTTAAAGTCACATGTAGAAATCAGAGGACTTGTTTCTTGCAGTATTTCCCTTTTATTTCCTCTATTCCTCTTTATTTGATCGTCCTCAAAAATGTTATCTTTTTTGCTGAGTTCAGGACTTTTCCATTAGGGAAGAGGGAAATTCATAATGCAGGCACCTTAGCCTGGCCTTAGGAATTTGGTGTTACTAAAGTCAGCCTATCTAAATGTTGCCAAATACATACTATCAAAATCGGCACAATCAGGAAGGTGTGTCTATTTGAAAGTATGTGTTTTTAAAATAAATTTACTTCAATGACTGTTCAAGTTCCTCAGAGAGATTTTAGTTAATTTCTGTGCTCAAAATCAGAACTTTCCACCCACTAAGGTATACAGAAGATGCAAATATTATTCTGCTTCAATTAAATAAGGCTTCAGAACATCAATGCACTCATTGTTGAAATTTGTTTATTTATTTAAATAATTCCCTACTTTTATATTTCTAATAAAAGAAAAATACTAGAAATATTAAGAGAGGAAAGAAGAAAAGGAAAGGGAAATCAAATGTGGGATCAAAAGTCAGAGTTACCTATTTTCACCATTATTCTAAGTAATGTCATGGTAGCTTTAACAAGGTATTTTCTACTACAATCAGATTGTCCTGCCTTCTCTTTGAGCCCCCTGACATACTTACCCAGCCCAACACACCTTCTAGCTAAGTGCTGCCTCATTCCAGTATGATCCCAAGTCTCCAGCTTCAGTGTCTATCAGGAGATAACGCTGCACCTAAGATAAGCCACTTATTTTACCCCATGTTCCTGAACAAATGGATTGTCAAGGAGTGAGAAACTGACATAAAATGCCATTCAGAGCCATTGCTTTTTATATTTTAAATTGTAATGGAACAAAAAAAATTTACTTTCTCTTTATGACTGTGAACATTACTACTTCTAGTTTCTAGCAGCACAACCAGGAGGAAAAAAAAAATCTCTCTGTAGTAGGTCAAAGTTGACCTAACCCACACATACAAGTAAAAAATGAGTAGAGGAAAGATTGAGTTATATAGGCTCCCATCCTCTTTTACCAGTTATTTCTAAAATCAAATATCCTTAGAGCTCAAGTTTTTGAGCCAATCTATTAAGCTTTTATTTTTTGCTTCAGATAATGCAAATTCAGTTCCTGTCACTTGTTATGACTTAATAAAGTCAGAAACAGAATGTCATCTTTTAACAAATATTTTGTGAAAATATCATTTGTGTAAGAGAAAGGTGTACAGAATCACAATTTAATGAGTATTTTACACATATCCTAAATTTTAACACATTACCCTAAATTAATCATGTTGGATTCATAGTAGTACAGTACTTGAGATAAATTGTTACACTTGAAATAAATTTTGCTGATGACAACCTTACCTGTGTCCACTCATTGGTTTGTGGATCATAGGATTCCATAGTGTTGAGATATGTCTGCCCATCATAGCCACCAACAGCATACAGTCTATCTCCAAGGAGACAGACCCCGACAGCATCTCTAGGCATACTCAATGGGGCTACCATGGTCCAGGTGTCTGTTTTGGGATCATATCTAAAATTCAAATAACAACAGAACACAGCATAATCTAATAACATTTGACTTTCATTGTATGAATGATAATCTTCGAAAAGCATGTGATGAAAAAGAAAACAAAGCTTTTCCTAAAAACTCAATCATTGAACAGGTATTCTTGAGCAAATACCCATGCTGTCTGACTTCATAAACTTTAAAGTATTTTTCAAAAGATACCTAGACTTCAGATAGAGATAGATTCATTGAAAAAAGGAGATGTCATGATCTCTTTCCATAAGGAAAGTCAGATATTATATATTTATTTCTATAGGAAAATTCACCTTCATACCAAATATATGCAAAGTGCTATGGTCATCAAGCAGAAGGAATGATTAATAATCCAGGAGAATCATAGTAAGATCCTTAGCTGGTGTCTCCTTCAAACCAGTTCTGAAAGTCAAGCTTAAATTTGCTAGAAAGTAAAGTGAAAAGAAATATGCCATATATATATATATATATATATACATATATATTTTTTTAAACTTTTATTTAGTAAATATAAATTTCCAAAGTACAGTTTATGGATTACAATGGCTTCCCCCCCATAACTTCCCTCCCACTCGCACCCCTCCCATCTCCTGCTCCCTCTACCATTCCATTCACATCAAGATTCATTTTCAATTATCTTTATATACAGAAGATCGATTTAATATATATTAAGTAAAGATTACATCAGTTTGCACCCACATAGAAACACAAAGTGTAAAATACTGTTTCAGTACTAGTTATAGCATTAATTAACATTGGACAACACATTAAGGACAGAGATCCCACATGAGAAGTAAGTACACGGTGACTCCTGTTGTTGACTTAACAATTTGACACTCTTGTTTAGGGCATCAGTAATCACCCTAGGCTCTAGTCATGAGTTGCCAAGGCTATGAAAGCCTTTTAAGTTTGCCGACTTCAATCTTATTTAGACAAGGTCATAGTCAAAGTGGAAGTTCTCTCCTCCCTTCAGAGAAAGGTACCTCCTTCTTTGATGGCCCTGTTCTTTCCACTGGGCTCTCACTTGCAGATATCTTTCATTTAGATTTGTTGTTGTTGTTGTTGTTGCTGTTGTTGTTTTTGCCAGAGTGTCTTGGCTTTCCAGGCCTGAAATACTCTCATGGGCTCTTCAGCCAGATCCGAATGCCTTAAGGGCTGATTCTGAGGCCAGATTGCTATTTGGGACATCTGCCATTCTATGAGTATGCTGTGTATCCCACTTCCCATTTTGGATCATTCTCTCCCTTTTTGATTCTATCACTTAGTATTAGCAGACACTAGTCTTGTTTGTGTGATCCCTTTGTCTCTTAGACCTATCTGTATGATCAACTGTGAACTGAAATTGATCACTTGGACTAGTGAGATGGCATTGGTACATGCCACCTTGATGGGATTTTATTGGAATCCCCTGGCACATTTCTAACTCCACCATTTGCAGCAAGTCCGATTGAGCATGTCCCAAACTGTACATCTCCTCCCTCTCTTATTCCCACTCTTACATTTAACAGGGATCACTTCTCAGTTAAATTTAAACATGTAAGAATAATTGTGTGTTAATTACAGAGTTCAACCCATAGTATTAACTAGAACAAAAAAAAAATACTAAAATGGATAAAGTATTACATTGTACATCAACAGTCAGGACAAGAGCTGATCAAGTCACTGTTTCTCATAGTGCCCTTTTCACTTCAGCAGGTTTCCTTTTTGGTGCTTGGTTAGTTGTCGCTGATCAGGGAGAACATATGATATTTGTCCCTTTGGGACTGGCTTAATTCACTCAGTATGATGTTTTCCAGATTCCTCCAAATGGAAAAAAAAAAGTATATTTTAAAAATCGATGAGTATCTTTGAGGAAACAGGTCTGTAAGAATGCCTAAGGCAAGAAGTGTGTGGGAGCAGTATGCTTGGAAAACCAGGTTGTGATCAGCTTATGAATTGTTTGATTCCCTAGATAAGGAGTTCTGTGTTTACTCAAGAAGAAAATGGGTAATCTTTGACACTTGGAAAAATACTAATTATAATGCAAACAGAGCTTTGTTTTAGTGAATTGCTCAGAACTCACCAGGACGGAGAAATTAGTAAATCAAGAGATTAAAGTCAGAGAGCCCATGTAATTATTACTGAATTTAAACAAAAATTTAATTTTTAAAAATATGTAGTTAGCATGTATTATATAAAGATATTTTCTACTTTGAGTGACAATTACCTGAAGACTATACTAGTAAATGCGCTTTATTTCAGTCAAGAATGAAAAAACCACCCCTTTGCCTTGTTCCTATAACTGCAATTCAGATACCAGAACAGAACAGCCATTAAGAATTCTGTACAATAAATACAATGTAAGACTGGAATAATGTATTTTCTCACAAAAACAGTAAATACAGTCTTAGTTTGTTTAGCTGAGCCAAACCTTTTTCACTACTTGAAGTTTTCAACCTACAGATTCCTAAAACAAATGACTAAATAGCGACAACACTATCAAGTATTGAAAATGAAGAAGGTTGTTTACATAACCTCTGGAGTTTATATTTCATAGAGAACATTCACATTACCCAGGATGTTATATGCATTTGCACACCATGATTGGAGGGGTTGTACATGGCTGAGACGACACATGTGAAATGAGATCTTGACTGAATGCCTGCAAAACCAGGATGACCTTGAAACATTGACAGTTCAGAGCTCAAGAATCTACTTTTGCATGCTGTAGCAAATACATTCAAAGCATCAAATACAGGAACAGGCACACAAATGCACATACACACACTATCTGTGCTACAATATCTCCTTTAAGAAAGATTGTTAAACCTTTTCCATAAACATGTTGAAATATATGAAGATACTTTTAAAATGAACTTTAAAAGGAGAAAGAAAAGGATACCACAAGAAAGCAAATGCTAAAGTCCAGAATGCAGAATCTTATACAAGATAATGGCTTAATTTTTGAAAATTAAAATTTTTGAAAATGCCAATGAGTAAATGTGTCATGAGCAAATAAATAAATGGGAAGAAGTTAACCATTCTAAATAAAATGAGAATGAGAAACAATAGAGTAGAGTAGAACTTATTTCGATCTTACTTCATATGGACCAACTGTTAAAAGATGTTTGAGACATTTTGGAAATTTTAATATATGCTAGGCACTACATTTTAAAAAGGAATTGCTGAAGTTTCTATTAGTGGGATAATAGCATTGTGGTAATGTTAAAAACATGAAATCCAGATCATTTTTGTTTATTCACTTGTTTTTAGAATTCAGAAATGTTTCCGTTAAAATTCTGTTTGAGAATTTCTTTAAAATGCCTGAGGGAAAAAGAAAGAACTGAATATGGATACAAGAATGATGAACTGGTGATGGCTGTTGAAGCTGTGTAATGAGGTTAGAAGAGACTGTTGACTTTTTGTATGTCAGGAAACTTTTGGTAGAAATCAATTTAAAAGAAAGAATATCTAAAACATTTTAATTTCAGGGAAAGTCAATGTTCTTTACATTTTATTCATTCTTAAATGAAATCCACTCTGACTTTTGTCACAATGACTTTAACCTAAATGCTTTTTTCTGAAGTCATATTTTGGTTTCCATTTAATTATTATTCTACTCCATAGAGTTCTGATTTTTCAAATGCTGTCTGCAAAACAGACTTCATGATTTTGCAAATGCACAAGAAAGAAACATGGAGAAAACAACTAATAGTGTTCTAAGCAATAATAAATGAATTTTGAACTTAGCTCTTTGTGTGAAACTCAAATATTCACACAAATCAGGCATTTGTGGTAGTGAACCAGTGGATAAAAAATCTCTGCCTGACTCTCTTTCTTTATTTCTTCCTTTCAAATAAAATACAAATAACATTTTGAAAATTACAAGTTCAACACATTTCTCAAACACTCATATTGCACAGAAAAGGAAGAGAACCCAAGTATGTCTTATATTTAGCTAAACATTTAATAATACTAATCTACATTTGTAAATACATATCCATTTTTTCCACTTCGAAATTATCTGTGGGGTTAGCGCTGTAGGTTAAGCATTTGCCTGCAGTGCCAGCATCCCAAATGGGTGCCAGTTCAAGTCTCAGCTGATCAACTTCAAATCCAGCTCCCTGATGATGGCTTGGAAAAGCAGCAGAGGATGGCAAAAGTCTTTGGGCTCCTGCTTCAGATCAGCCCAGCTCTGGCCCTTGCAGCCATTTGGGGAGTTTACCAGCAGATGGGAGACCTTTTTCTGCCTCTCCCTTTCTCTTTCTGTAACTCTGCCTCTCAAGTAAATAAATAAATCCTTTTTCTTCTTCTTCTCTGTTTCTTCTTCTTCTTCTTCTTCTTCTTCTTCTTCTTCTTTTGACAAGCAGAGTGGACAGTGAGAGAGAGAAAGAGACAGAGAAGACAGAGAGAAAGGTCTTCCTTCCCGTTGGTTCACCCCAAAAATGGCCACTGCGGCCGGTGAGCTGTGGCTGTCATACTGTGCCAATCCGAAGCCAGGAGCCAGGTGCTTCCTCCTGGTCTCCCATGCAGGTGCAGGACCCAAGCACTTGGGTCATCCTCCACTGCCCTCCCAGGCCACAGCAGAGAGCTGGACAGGAAGAGGAGCAACCGGGACAGAATCTGGTGCCCCAACTGGGACTAGAATCCGGGGTGCCGGCGCCGCAGGTGGAGGATTAGCCTAGTGAGCTGTGGCGCCGGCCAATAATTTTTTTAAATAAGAAAATTATCTGGAAGTAATTTTAAAATTTAAATATATTTTTCTAGAAAATAAAATTGAATTAGATGTACCTGTTTTCAGCAGTAGGTGACTTTTTTTTTTTTAAGACTTGTTTATTCATTTGAAAGGCAGAGTAACAGGGAGGAAGAGGCAGAGAGAGAGAGAGAGAGAGAGAGAGGTCTTCCATCTGCTGGTTCACTCCACAAATGACTGCAATGGCTGGACCCAAAGCCAGGAGTCAAGAGCTTCTTCCAGGCCTCCCATGCGGGTGCAGGGGCTCAAGGACTGGGGT